CTAGATTAAATTTAGGGAGATTAACTACAGTTCTCAAGTTTATACTAGGCCAATGAGAAAATCCTAAATTAAATTCTAAATGTAAGCTTAGTAGTGGATTTTAGGGTTAGCCACAGGAATATTATTAAGACTAGCTTAATTTTACAAATGGGGAAAAAAATGAAGCTTAGAAAAATTAAATGTCTAGAAGTTGAACAGTTGAAGATAACATGAGGAATTATAAGAGACATCATTAGTGGAAAGTGCAAGGGATTTGGAGTTAAAGAACCTAGATTGTCTCTCAGCTTTACCACTTCAAAGTTATACAACCTAAAGTGGACAGTGGGCCCCAGTTTCCACCTTCAGTAAAAAGGTGGAGATGGTAGCGATTTTACAGAGTTATTGTACAAATTAAATGTTTTTATAATAATTACTAATAATTTTAAGTGAGTTTTCTAGGACAAGGATAATGTATGAACGTCACTAACAAAGAGATGACATTAGATTAAGGATGTCTAAGAAAGTTAGATGAAGGTCTAATTTTTATCCCTTAAAAACTTCTGGAACATTCACTATCTACAAGTTCCTCATTATTTGCTCACCTGCTTTTGCTCCTCTCCAAGACTATCCCACATGGAGGCCACAATTTTTGAAACCTCTCCAAAAGTGGCATTGGGATTCTGTCCCTTGATGGCAGCCTGTGTATCACGGAAGAATAAAGCATATGCTGAAACTGGTTTCTGAGGTTCATTCGGATCTTTCTTTTTTCTCTTCTTTGGGGCTTTCTGCTTTTTCCCTGCTTCCACCACCACTGTCTTCTGGCTGGGAAGTTGCTGTAGGGGAGAAAAGAAAGGGAATTACAAGATGGAAGAAGGGAAGTACTGTGACTAGAGAACTGCAAGAAGAGGACTTTTATATGGGAGGATACTAGCCACATGTATAGCATTTTCAGAAATGCTAAAAATAGTGGCAATAGGATTAAAAGACATTCTGTAAAGTATGTGAGGATCAGTAAGAATAGGGATTGAGAAGAGCATTATAAACTGAAAATTAAGAGGTAGAAACCCATACCCAGAAAAGAGCAGAGGAGATAGCAGGGCAGGAGTAAAGAATACTGATTAGGTTCTATATGCTAAGAGTTTTATCCTAGAATACCATAGCAGAATTGATTTTGGCAGGGAATGCCTCACCCTCCGGAAATCCTCAACACCATCCTCATGAAGTGAACTGGTAGGTGAAGGGGTGGTTGAAAGACGATCCTCAGGTGACTGGGCAGGTGGTAGGATGGTGCCACCCCCTAAGCTCAAACCAAGTTGAGAACTCAATTCTGACTGATCAATGGTGGTCAGCTGGCTATGCCCCATCAAGCCAGATGTTATGTCTGTCATTGGTACATCAATTGTAACAGGTGGGTTGGCGCTATACTGAGTTCCTATAGAATGGTCCAAGTCCTGAGAGAAGCAGAAGGACTAATTAAACATTAAATATAAAAAACACCACTTTTTCCTCCCTGAATTCAGGACAGCTTATAAATTCCTTGCTTACCCAGACTGTATCAGTTTAAACTCTATGAAACATCAATTTGTCTACATATAAAACATATTAAGCTTTTTAAAAAAGTACAGATCTTTAGGTTGTATATGGTGGAAAAAAACCAAAAAGTACAGAAATTAGTAAATTTACTTCTTTGCACTCAAAGGCCTATTCTGAAATAACTAAAAATAATCAGAGAAGTCATAACAACTTTGGGCAATTTAAAGAGCAAATAATTTTTCAGTAATCTGTAGGTAGTGATAACATACTGAGTAAAGGAAAAGTTCTCATCTGTATGTACCCTCCCCCAACAACAGCTTTTAAAGTTGTAACACATAGGCAATCAGAGCAAATGGGGCCAATGTTAGAGATGTTTGGCAGCAAATACAGAGTATGGATATGCGCTACTGATGAGATGTGCTGGAAACCCAATACACTGGTTTATATCTCATACCAATCCACAATTAATACTAAATTTGGTTCAGACTGTTTTGAATAAATCCTTCTATGTGCGAGCTATCATTCACATTTGAATCGTAGGATGTGAAGTCCATAATAAAAGGGGAAAAAACACTTTTTTCCAGATATCACAATAAATAATTTTCACTTCAGGGTAAATGGACAGTTTACCATTGACCCAACGGGAAATCTCATTTATTTAAGTGAAATTAAGTCTTTGTTGGTGAGCTGTTAGCAAGAATGAAAAACAAGTAATACCCAAATGTAGTGGGGAATAGAGAGTAACTTTTGTCTCCCCTATCACCATGTCCATAAGCTTAGGTGAACCTGATAATATCTTGCCCCTTACCATGGTCAAGCCCCCACTCAGGAGCCCCCCGCCCTGCTCCATCAAGCCATGGGTCATGCCCACGGGCATGTCCAATGTCTGGACCCCATATTGGGCTGAAAAACTGCCATCCTGTGAGGAGGAAGGGTCTGCCAGGTCATCAAAGTGGCCAACCACATCTGAGACAGCCAGTGAGGGATCAGAATCCAAGGAGATAGGTGGGATTTCAAATTCCTCATCACCCAAGCTTGGAGTATGGAATGTCTGTGTGGAAAAAAGGGAAAAAATTAGTGGGAAGAGGAGAAACTGAATATCACTAAGTTAAGAACACAGATGGGCACTGGGAATTTTCAGTGTACCTCTTTTCAGCTTAGGATCCTATTTTGTTATTGATTTATTAGGACCCATTTAATTTTAACCTCTTTTCTTTCTCATACCCTTGGCCATTGGCACATACTGGCTGCCAACAGCAATCACAATTTTCAATTCTTTCATCTCTTTTCTATCTTTACCATCTCAGTTGTCCTAAATTATTCTGCCTATTATTCCAATGAGTAATTCTTTTCATACCATTAGTTAAGACCCAGTCTTTATAACCTGTTTAGCTATGATGCTTGAAATACCTCTACATATTCTAATAGGTAGCAGTTATTTCACAATTATTATGCCTGAACTATTAGACCACAGAAATTCACTGTCAACCAGCCAATTATATTTTAGGTTTTTTTGAAACAAAGATCTTAAAATGTACAGTCATGGGAACCTTATCCCCCTATAAAATATTTATAGTTAGACTTTCCTACCTCCTATTCATTTTAGCAATTATAATATTAACAAGAAATAAGATTCCCATTTGTACAGGATTTTCAGAAAACCCCAACAATGCCAAGATAAGGATAATAGTGAGGAGCAAAACCTTGCTATAGCCAAAAGGCAAACTGGGTCTCTAACAGTTCCAGAACACATTCCTAGTCTTGATCTGACCAAGCTTTTTCTGTAAGAGAGGAAGAAAATGATTACTCCAGCTGGCTAAAGACCTGATCCCTTCCTCTGAGTCCAACTATGTCAATAATAACACACTCTTTCTATTCTGAATGCAGCCACCACTCATGGAGCTAACAGAGCAATGTCTGACCTAAGATCTGTTAACAGCTATGGTTCCTTTTTGACACTAAAAAACTAAAATGGAGCTACCTATATAGAGCATTATAAATAATAGTAAGAGAATTTGGTGTCAGAGAGACCTGGGTACAAGTCCCAGCTCTGCCACTTTTTGTATGACCTTGAGTAGGTTTTCATCATCTATAAAATGGGAATTATAATGGTAATCCCCTTACATGATTATTATGAGGATAAATGGGATTTAGTACATAAAAGCTTATCACACTGCCTGATACATATAATTGCTTAATAACCATTAGTAAGTATTGTTACTAATATTAATATCCTGATGATTATTAACTTGCTACCTGCCCCATCTAAAGATAAATGTCAACTGATTCAGACGAAATTCAATAGGTACCCAAATTTTTTTGCATGATTAAGCAATGCATTCATTCTTTAAAGAGTTTATCAAGGTTTTTCTAGATCCACATTTTTTTTTTTAATTTTTTTTTTTTTTTGAGACAGAGTCTCACTCTTTTGCCCCGGCTAGAGTGAGTGCCATGGCGTCAGCCTAGCTCACAGCAACCTCACACTCCTGGGCTCAAGCAATCCTTCTGCCTCAGCCTCCCGAGTAGCTGGGACTACAGGCATGCGCCACCATGCCCGGCTAATTTTTTCTATATATTTTTAGTTGTCCGATTAATTTCTTTCTATTTTTAGTAGAGACGGGGTCTCGCTCTTGCTCGGGCTGGTTTCGAACTCCTGAGCTCAAACAATCTGCCCGCCTCAGCCTCCCAGAGTGCTAGGATTACAGGCGTGAGCCACCGCGCCCGGCCTATCAGCCCTTAATGTAGATTTGTGTTTTTTCTTGCTTAGAACTCTGAATTCCTCATGATATATGCACAGAACTGTATGAAAATAGGACAAATTGACTGACTTACGCTCAAGTATTTTTAAGGCTAGTGGTTTTTAAGTTTTGGCCTGGCATTACCTTAAGAGAAGATGAATTTGCTAGGTAAACCAAAAGCTTTATTCAGAATGCCAGTTTCCATATTCCTATAAGGGAGACTATTTTCCAGTGAACTCTGGGAATTATTGGAGATCTGAAATGTATTGTTCTTGAGAAACTATTTGTTTGAAACAAAAAATTCTAGAATTGCAAAAATATAAATATTGTTTCAAACCAGAGACTAGAAAGTGACTGAGAAAATATCAGGAAATATTTTCAAAATTTTTAGAAGTTTTTAAAAAAAGTTATGAAATTAAATATTACCTAATCAAATTTAAGCATTAGCCAAAATTGCTAAAAATTTATTCACCTTTTTTATTTGACTTTTAATTAGTGTTATTCCCATATCTGCTTTTTGGTTACATTCTGAGGTCATTATCACTTAGAACACAATTTCTTAATTCTAGAAGGGAAATGAAGGAACTTGAACACAAAATTAATTGGAGCAAATAGCAGTAAGGGGATTAGTGGCACTGAGTGCAGACAAAGGGTGGGTTATAACACATCAAGGGACAGCACAAACCTCTCACTGAACATGGCTGTTGTTCATGAGAATCACATTCTTTCTCTTGATCTTCACTGACAGGTGTGGAGTTCGGAGCTCGTATGGTCAACATTGATGGGAAACAAATCAAACTGCAAATCTGGGATACGGTGAGAGGAAAAATAATTTAGTCCCTGACCAAGACCCAAATATAACAATAAAGGCTGATGGCAGGGGAAAAGGGCTGTGAAGGTGGGACTAATGATGAAGATGAAATAGAGGAGCACAAAATCAAAGAGATCGGGAAGCTTTCGATCCCATCTGTTACAGTTACATATTCTGAATGCCATATCTTTTAATTTTTGTTTTATATGACCCAAGTAATAGTTTATTTTAGTGAAAATAAAATCAACAATATAAGATTCTAGAGTCAAAAGTGGATGTCCGCTTCATATACATAAACCTTTTCTCCCTCCCAGTCTTGGTTGCTACTCTGCCAGATGAATTCACTATTAATAATTCAGTGTGTATGCTTTCAGACTTTTTCTGTGCATTTAAATACATGAATATAAACACAAACATATGGTAGTGGTTTTGTATTTATTAATGTTTGCATGTATAGAGTTGTGACAAAGTAGACCTAGCTGTGTGACTTAGATTATCTTTTTATTAAACAATCTCTATTTTAGGGACCTTTTCTTATCAATACATATAGATCTACCTCATTCCTTTTAACCACTGCATAGTCATAGAATGTACCATAATTTATTTAACTATCTTCCCAATGATAGAAATTTGGGTAGTTTACAATTTTTCATTATTGCAAAGTTTCACTGAACATTCATTCTTACTTACTAAGTTTTTATGCAAATGTTTGAGAATTTCTGTGGAATACCTGCCCAGAAATGTTAATTCTGGGTTAAAGGTTATGCATATCTTAAAATTTGATAAATGTAGTTCTGCCAAAATTTAGCTTGGCTTAGTGTAATTTTGCTTCATCCGGATAAATTGCTTTCATGTGCATTATCTCATTTGACTTGTACCTTTCTTTTCCATAAGGAAAATAATATCTTAGTCTCTATTCTAGTTAAAGGGAGTTAGCAAATAGTTACTAATATTGAGCTAAAATCTCTTCCTGTGTTTGTTTACTTCTTACTATGTTATTCTGTTTCTTCTGATAAATGAGCTAAAGCCATTACATTTACACGCAGTGCACAAGTTATTTTTCCTTTTTCTCTCTTTTGCCACCTTCTTCCTCCCTGTTATCCATCGCCCACCCCCCCACACACAGGTGTATGTCTTAAAAACAGCTTTTTTTGCTGCTCTAGGGCCTTATTAGACAGTTCTTTTCTGGTGATCTCTAAAGTTGTTATCTCTTTTGGATGCACTCATTAATCAGGTGCTTTTAACTAGGATGATATTCTCCTGTAAATTTGTTGCATTTCCAGGCATTTAAAAATCTTTTGCCCTTCTGATCAGATTTTTCTTTTTTTTTTTTTTTTTTG